TTCTTAGGTCGTGTAGTGCCTTGTGACTATTGCGTATGCGTATTTTGTTTCTTGTTGGACTAATACCTTGTGGTCTTGTGGCAGCCATCATTTCTAGTGTCGATTTGCGCCGCCTTCTCTCGGGCAGCCAGAGACGCCAGGTAAAGAAGACGCGCCCCGGCCGGACCCCTCCTTCAGGAAGCACTGAGTTCGGGTCTGCCGAGCCGGTCCTGCCCTCTCCTCCCCCTGAGGTTTCGACGCCCCCTCCTGAGGGGACTAGTGGGATTAACCCTGGGGGAAGCGATCTCCCTCGGCCGGGGGAGGTACCCTGTAACCCCCTTTAGCCCCATCCTTACCCCCGATTCCCAGTGGGAAACTGGGAAGGGGTAAATGATTATCTGGTAGCTCGCCAGAGGAGTCAGAAGGCAATCAACAACGATGAGATCGCTCAGTGGGGAAACATGGAGCCCGAGGATCTCTCCGTGTTCGCCTCTGCCCACTGCATGGCGGTAAGTGGCCTTTTTCCCTTTTTCTCTCTTGTTCTGCCCTTTTCTACTGTCTTCTGATCTTCTTTTTCGCCGGTAGGTAAATTCCACCATCCATGCCATGGCTCTCCAGATGTGCATCCATCGCATCGACTTCCTCGACTAGTAGGCTGCCAACTAGAAGCTCCAGGTTGAGCTCGACCGGATCCGAGGCAAGCTCCATCACACCCGCAAGGGGAGCGAGTCTAAGGAGCTGCTCGTCCATGACCAGGAAGCTCAAATCGCTCGACTTACTGAAGAGAGCGCCCGTTATAGGGAGGAATCGTCGAGGATGGCGGGGGAGAGGGAGCTCCTTAGGCAGCAGGTGTGGGATTTGGAGTCCACTCTTCTGAATCAGACCTAAAACTTTGATCAGATGGTGGAGGCTGAGCAAGAGAAAGCGGTCTGGGATTTCAAAGACTCCCAGGAATTTCATGACCTCCAAGCGGAGTATAGTTCGGGTTCGTACCGCTCAGGGTTTAAGCTCTACCGGTGGCTGGTTCGGAAGAAGTTCTCCGGGTTCAACCTTGATGGCATTACTATGAAGGGTCTGTCCCCTGAGACAGCAGACCAAGCGGATGAAGAGGAGCCTGACTCTCCGGAGGATGAGGAGGCGGATCCTTGAGGTGGCGTTTCTCTGGGCTTCTGTGGCTTCCGGGTGCCGTAAACCCGGTCTTTCACAAGTTTTCGGTTGGGCGGTTGTGCCCTATGATGATCAAACCTTTCCTGAGTTGTTTAGCTCGGTTACTGCACTTGTTATTTTATTTATTGTTTTTTCTTCACCATTTTTTTTTGACAATAAAAGTCTCTTCCTTCTGAGTATGATGAACATCCTTTATTTTTGCTAAAGCGACCTCATCATTTGAGCCATTAAAGTTACATACCCGAAGTAGGGCTCTTCGATAGGCGTTATCTCGATTTGTCACGTTTAATACTTGTGGTATACTGCAAAGTGACTACTACGTATGTCCGAACTAAGCATTGATTGGTTATTCCTCAGTTCGACCAATGTATCGAGACGAGCTATGCTTCGTAGGGTTTGAACCCGAGCTGCTTACGCCTTTGATATTCCATACCTTGCCTTCGCCACTGAAGTGGCTGTCTTTCTTCATGCCGAGGTCTTTGTTAACTCGGTGTTTTGGCC